CATCTGCTCAGCAACAGATTAGGCTCAAATACAGACAATACAGAATAGTATGCAAACCATATTTGCTCTATTAGTAGTGCATGCACTGGCATAAATTTCAGAGGCAAACAAATTGGCATACGATCAGACACTTTGATAATTAAAACCATTATTTGAACAAGGTTTTTTGAATATGCTTGGGCTTAGCGGGAAAACTACTAGTATAATGAAACATGTCATAAACATTGATGTCTTCCCTTGCCAATTAAGGTGATTATCCTAATGGATTGTGAATAAAATGTCAAGAAACATCAAACCTACATGTAACTCATTTAAACATTAGTAAATACCTTTTTCTTCCGACCTCTACCAGCATATGGTGGTTCAGGCTCAGGTTCAGGCTCTGTAAACTTCAGAATGAGTTCTCTTAGTGAATCCAGGCTATCACAGACAAGCTCAAATTTACCCTTTTCCGGCAGGACTTCTATCATCTCCTCTTCTTTTTCTTCTACTTTTTCATCTTCTTTTGTGTGGTTTATTTCAGTGGTTTTGTCAGTCACTTCTTGAGCATTAGAGCAATCTTCATTATCAGTTCTCTCAGGACATTCCTTCCCATTCACTAATTCCCTCTTCAATATATTAACCTTTTCCTCACTTTCATCATTGTCTAATGTATCTTTAATGGTCATTTCATCAGCAAGTTCAATTTTTGTTTTTTGGTCAGTGCTCACTTTTTCTTGTTTCACTACATTAATTGGCTTCTTGATGTGAACCGATTCTTTTTTTAATGTATCTAAAGAAATATTTTCTTCTTGACACTGTTTATGTTCCACTGACAATTCTTTCTTTACTTCATTTTCTGTTTGAAATTTCTTTTCAACAGGCAACTGTTCATCTTTTACACAAATCTTATCGCTATGTGTCCTTTTATCTTCATCATTACATGCTATTTCACTTCTATTTGTATCATTTTCACTATCTTTTATATTTTCCACATCAGCAAAATCTGTTATTAGTTCATTTGTATTATTTTCTTTTTCATTATCATCAAGTGCATCATCATCACTACTACAGCCATTTTCCATAGTTTCTTCCTGGCAAACGGGGCTATTTTTGTCTTCCGCAAAGTTGAGTTCCATTATCTCACTTTTGTCATCACACACATCATCATCATCCATTACCTTTGAACATGGTTTTTCTTTTTCTTGACAATTATCAAGACAATCATGGTCTGCATCTAGATTGTCTTCAATCCCTTCACACTTCTTTTTCCTTTTACAAGTTGGTTTGTCAATAACAATATTATTTTCATCAGTATGGAATTCATTTTCACTCAAATTAGAACTGTATTCTTCATCAGACTCAGCATTCCTTTTTCTGTTTGATTCTAGCTTGCTTTGTTGTATAGCAGCAGCAACACAGTCAACATCTTCACTGTCTTCAATAGATGAGGTATATGTAGATTCAGAGGTTTCAAACAGCAGTTCAGATGATTTAAGCACAGGAATTATTCTCTGAGGAAAAAACAAATCAGAAATATTTTGTAAATGCAAACTATCTTTACAGTTGATTAATTTAACAAAAAAAAACCCTGAAAAATTGCTTTTCTTTAACATGTGTCATTCAATGTGAAAATACAATTTTGTTTATTGAAACAACATTTTGCCACTACAAATATTACACCGTACAATTCAAATGGTTTCACTGAAGTTGACCATCCATGGCGATCTCTACAAACCCATGTTAGGAAAAGCTATATTTGACCTCAGTTAAATTGAACGATTTGATTGGGTGCGCCAAGAAGCTGGATCCATCAATCAGCATTCCTGTAACAACAACTCGCATCAATTTTTAAAATTAAACCAATAGTCTCTTATCGCGTCTCACCAGAGCATGTGCCGCTTTTGTAAACAGTGAATACAGGTTTATAGTGAGAAATCTGGCAAGAAATAATGGTGAGGCAACAACCAAATAAACAGCCTGTTGGCTGAGATAGCGCCGCTGTCAGCAATGCACATTTCAATTAAAGAACTGAAGATATCATTAGAAAATGAACAATATGTATAGTATCAAAGCAATCAGACTTGCTGTTTTCAACAAGAATTCAAAAATTTTACTTTTTACCAAAAATGACAAAAATATTCATTAAAATTAGAGAATCAAAAATATCATCATGAAATGAACAAATCTGAGAAAGGTCTACATGCAGTATCTATCTATGTAATATCAAAGCAATCGGACTTACAGTTTTTAACAAGAAGTCGAAAATATCACTTTTTACCAAAAATGCCAAAAATATTCACCAAAATTAGAGAATTGAAGATAACATCATGAAATGAACAAATCTAAGACAGGTCCACCCAAGGTACATATACACCAAGTATCAAAGCATTCAGGCTTGTAGTTTTCAAGAAGAAGTCGAAAAAGTAAAACATTGACAGAGACGACGACGCCAGACAATCACTCATATGATAAGCTCCGCTTGACAAAATCGACAGCGGAGCTAATAAAAGTACCTTGGCTTCAGAAATTGCAAATATTAATATTAAAATTAGATTGTTTATTATCAGCAGCATTTCTAACTATATAATAGATATTACCTGTCTGAGTCTGCTTGGTCTTTCTCTCACTACAGGAGGCACTGGTGTGACCGTTTTCTTCATCTTCTTCTTTTTCTTCTTTCCAAAAATCTTCAGTTCCTTTTTATCTGGGATTTCAGTCTTTGATAAAAACAAGTGAATATACAATAATTAGGTGGGTTTTAAATTTCCAATTTTAATTTAGTACATTCTGCAGTCAGGCGATCTTGGGGTGTACTCATTCAAGAATGTCTTCATTTTTGCAATGCACTTGCAATGCTACAATTTCAGCTTTCCCAAGTGGGAATTGGTTACTGTTATAGCACAAGCACATTTGTTTTGAATTTTGACTGAATATGCAGATTTGTTTCAAGTTGTAACTGAATTAGAATACAAATGAAATTAGAGGTGGGGTGGTTATCATGAGCAGAGATGTATACTGGCACAGCTAATGTGAAATCTTTAACACAATACAATTGATACGTTCACACAACAGCATTTTATCAGAGCTCTACGACTTGAGCCAGCAAAAAATGGTTGTGTATGCACATTCGGCTCAAGCCAAGTTTGGCTCCAATAAACCCTCAGGGTCGAACTCTGATAGGATTGGACCCTGACATGCCTCTAGCCATCTAAACGCATCGAGGGCCAATGATCAGGTGAAAATCACGCCTTCAATCGTCTTCTTCAAGTAACCTCTCATTTCAATTACAGCAGAGACAACATTCTTTGGAATTTTGCGTATTTTCTGGCTTGACGAAGAGGTACACGCTCTAATGTCTATTTGACAGAGTAAATAAATACTGTGATAGATTGATAGCTCAATGGAAAACGGGGGGAGCAGTAATTCAACTCCAATAGAATGCTGTTCTGTAAACATGGCAAATGTGCATCACTAATCAAACAAGATGGTTATACTTGCCTTTCTTTTCCTTCCTCTTTTTCCTTTCACTTTTTCTTCTTTAACTTTCTCCTTAGGAGGTTTAGCAAATGGATCAGGTATTGCAGTTTGTTTGTATATTCGAACATCAGCACCGCAGAAATGAGGAAAATGAATGTAGGAACTGCCTTCACTGTCGTGGCCAAGCGTTATTGCATGAAGTTCACTGCGGGGCATGGAATTAATACAGTCTCTTATAGCCTGATGATTTTCCTGTGAGTAAAAATGAACAAATTGCAAATACAGAGTCGGTGCTAAGTGATGTTTGCAAACTTGTAAGCGAATCAACTATTTCAATCAAAGAACAAGGTATTTTACTAGTTAACTATATATGAAAGTTATTACGTATGACTACATTGATGAACCTAGGTACGTGTTTACAAACTGAATTCCATATTTTATTTTTATTTTATAAGTAAAAGTAAGTAAAATCTGATTTTTTGGTATAGGAAATTCTAAATTTATGTCAATTACCTAGTACAAAATTGTCCAAGCACACCCAAACAAAACTAGGTCAAGATGTCATATTCAGTTTGTGATTTAAAAAATTTTCCCTACAAAATAAATATTACCGGGGTACATTTTGTGTCACAATGTTATTTACTGTTTTATTACTTGTTTTAATAGTACATGTACTGTCATTACTTACTACTGGTACTCAGCTCAAGTCTTCAAAAATGTGCAAAAAAATTGTAGCAAGAAAGTTTCTGCTGACAAGGCAGTATTTCAATGTTGCAAAATGTGCTCTGAGAGTTAAAATTTATGGTAATCGTGAATACATTGAAATCTCACAAAAAAACAAGATTTAAACAATAACACTGTAGTTTCAATATAGAATTGTTGTTTGGAAGATATAAGTAATAATATTGAAACAGGAAACACATACTTTAATTTTGTATTTGTGATAACGAAACTTTGAAAACACTTTGTCACTATTGCCTCATTTTTTCTTCTCGAAAGCTAAATGTAGTTTTAATAAAATAAACCATGAGATGTCACTCACCACAATAATATCAACCATGGACTTCATAATCCAGACTCTTTGGTAAAATGTTAATTCATGATAACTTTTCTTGTCTAACACAAATTTTGTGCCAAGAACATCAAAAAATAAAGGATCAATACCAAGCTGTGAAGATGCCTGTAAATGAATTTAGGTTAAATGAAGGTTAATCTCTAATGTTATTATTTGAAAATATTAATTCAGACAATTCAATAATTTTTCAGAAATGTATTCATTAAATCAAAATAGATAAGCTTAGAGCAGGGATTGAAATCACTGAAATGAACTATTACCGTTACTTCACTCACCTGAATTTTATCACCAGCTTTCTGTTCTAACACCTTGTACCAAACTCGAATTTTCTCCCTCAGCTTTGTTTCCCAGACAGTATAAGGCATAGGTGGTTTTTTGTTAAGGCTGTGAAGAGAAAGCACATCTTTCAAATGCATACACATCATACCAGACGGAAGTTTGAAGAATCACCTAAGACAAGAAACCTGTGTGTGACCATCTTAGATAACATTCAATTTTATTATTATTTTCATAAGATGCTGAAATTTAATCCAGAATTCGGATTCTTTTTAAGAATCAAATATTCCATTTCTAAAATATGCCATTGTATTATAATCTTATATTCATTTTCAAGAGAATTACATTCAATCAGTGGTGGAAAAAACAAGTCAACAATCAACTAACTAGTTCGTTACTAATATGGCCTATACACAGGTCTCTTACCACTTGACAAAAACACCAAAATGTGCGAACCATGATGATTCAATTTTTTAATTTTAATTTTCAGCAAATGTTCGCTTGTGTGTGTTTGAAAAGAAAGAAAGAAAAACCAGGAGAATGCAATTCTTCTAAAAACAAAGTATTATCTGCGAATGCAGTACCACAGACAGTTACTCAAATCTGATTATAAACCTGAAAATGTATTCAACTTCAGCATTGTTTAAGTAATTTTATGCTTAGACATTCCCATAGGTCAGACAAGGCAACCACAACACAATTGTATATTTTCTAAATCAAAATCATGTGATCATATTTATACAAACACATCTACAATATTTCTTTAATTCTGTCCCACTCTCAAACCTTGTGCAGTTTAAACAGGAGTTCCATTCGACAATTATGAATGAGTCTATGTACATGCATTAATTTGTATTGATCAGTTTTATAACATTTATATACATACCTTATTCTTTGGAAGGGTGTACTCAATAATGAGGTAAACACTTTAGCAAATGTAGAACTTTCTCGCGGCATGAGGAAACCCCTCTCTAGTTCATAGAATACTACTTCACCTATATTCAATGAACTTTGGCATATGTACAAAAAATGTCCTATTTGAGGTATCTACAACAAATAAGAAGAAAAGAATTAATTACAATTTTAGTGACCTATTTTCATTGTATTTTTAAAAGTTGGTTAGCAAAGCAAAACAAAACTAATGTATTTAAAATATCTCAACATCTTTAGCTTATTCAGATGATAGTGGAATCGATTTGATTCTCATTAAGTTAAATTCAAGTACCCGGTAATTCTGATATCAAACTTCACACTAAAAACCAAGTACACACCTCCCACATTGCTCTTAGCTGAGAGCCTACTGGTTCTGCAAGAAGATTGACTTCCCAGTCAATAACCTCTTGCTGCATTCTGAGTATTTCCTCTTTCTTTTCTCGCTCCTTCTGTCGTTTATCTTCAATTTCATTGAGTTCTTCTTCTTGTTTGATAAATGCAACAATTGGGGAGTTCTCCACATTGTCATGACCATAAAGTGCCCGAGATGCCGTCCTTTTTCTGGGCCCTACATTTTAGACAATAATATTTAAATAATCATCAGTTCATAATTTCTTTGAGGTTTAGTATACAGTGAGTATTACAATAGGTTTCATGAATTTTTTTTTACATACTTTTTATACAACACATGAAACCTGTATTGAACACAACGCACCACTGCCATTAAATTTGAGACATCCTGATTCGAGATCATGTATCATTATTCAACCATTTTGAATTATATCATGTGAGAAAATAGAAATTAACTTGACCAAGAGCTTTATACTCACCTGTAACAATAGTTTCAGATTTATCATCTCCATATCTACCTCCTGAAGTCAAGAAATGGGTTGCCTTTTCTCTAATAGGTCTAGAAATACAAAATATTTTGTACAGTATCTTGAGTGCATTATATCTTAGTTGTGTATAAACAGAAACATGACTACATTCATCTGAAGGCCCCTAAATCTCAAACGCTTTGAGACAGCTCAGACCAAAGAATGACTTTTTTTTGGCAAAACGTACATGAACTGCATGTAGTCACAAAAAGTGTAATTCACAATGAGAATTTCTGACATGCCTGTGTGACAATCTATTCTTTCTATCATAATGACATTATGGTGGTTTCAAACACTATTCCAGTGTTAACATAGCCTTTAATGGTTGTAAATAGTTGATTTAAAGGTTGTTAATAGTTGAAATTGATGTTTGGGGCTAAAATAAGGCATGTATAAAGCTGGTCATATTGAACATGCTTAACCCTAAATTGTACCAGCCCCATCAAGTTTTTAAAGATTACATATTGAGAGTAAACCTGACAAACATTTTGGTGTCACTATATAGTTTGTAAACTAGTTTCCATATACCGAACATCATTAAATTATACCCCTCTATTCTCGCGTTTTGTTCAGCGTTTCAGCTCATATGTAAGAAATCCAAAATCCCTCTGAATAATTTTGTTTACTTTGCATGTGTGCTATTTTTGCACTTGAATTTTGATAATTTTAATGGGGCACAATACTTTATTGAAACGCATAAAATCCCTTGCAGGAATTAAAATGGTTACATAACAAATAAAAAAAGCAATCCAAAAAAAAAAATAACAATCTGAAAAAAATTCTCATTCAACTTAAATGTAGACAAGAATAACAAAGGTTACACAACAGGAAAATTGGCTACAAAACAATTAACTATAATTCAAAAATACTAGAATACTGGTTGAAGGTGTTGTCTACTATACACCATGCTGTTTTTAATGTACTGCTCGAATCAACTATGGACGGAAACATTGCTACTGGACAACAATAATTTTAATGTGTGTATATATTTTAATTTTAGTACATGCATGTACACACACAAAAATACCTATCAAATACAATTTATTATATAACCAGGGCAGAAGAAATCAATATTCTCCCTTGCCATAATTATTAATTTTTCCCATCTCTGTAACTTCATGCAGGAATCCTCATAAATATGATTTAAAAGTTCACAACTAGCAATATTGCAATATTAGAGTTTGTCTGTGGGGGTTGCAGAATTTTTGACAAATATTGTATTCATTGACGTCTATTTTGTATTTAAGGGGTTCATAAATTGTCTCTTACTGATTTGATTACATTGTGCAGTTTGTTCTTGTGGATTGTCTTGTTGATTGTTGTCATTTTTTGGTTTTATTTTTATTATTTCCACCTTGCAATATATTATATATATATCCACTACAATTGTAATGTGAATTTTGTTATTAATGCTGTATAGTTTTTAGTGTACTCTATATTCGGGGCCTATCTGTGATTCTAGAGTCCCATGTTGACTATATCCCAGTTCGTTTACTTACTTGTCAGTGTCTGACTGGCATATACAAAATGCAACCAAGTAAAAAAAAAGAAAGAAAGGCAGTTGCTGGTGTCAAGAGAACAGCAATCTGCCAGCAGCAACTTATACAGGAGATATTTCAAAGAGGATTGTTAAAATTGTAGTTAGATAAGTTATTTATTAAAGATGCCCAGGGAACCAAAATTAGGGATGTGAAAAATTAGAGATAATAAGCCAAGGGGATGAAGGACGGCATTTAAAAAACATATTTTATATATACGTAGGGTATATAACAAAAATAGCAAACACTGACAGAATCAGGGAAACCTTCACTTGCATATGGAGATGTCTAGGGTAATCACAATTGAAAGGATATTTTACTCACCTTGACATAAGATTTAGTTTCTGTTCAAAAATTCTTTCCAATTTCATGGCTTGCTTTGAAACCCAATGATCAAGACCATTATATCTGTAACAATTTTCAAGCATATGTCTAAAATCTCTAACAAATTCTGTGATTGTTGTGTACTCCCCATTCTCAAACTTGGATTCCACTGTAATATAAAAAAAAAAAAGTTTAAAATTGAGGATGAGCATTGTCAGAATAATTATAAAAGTCTGATCAGTATTTATAATTTCATGATTTACAGCATTGACTCAAGAGACAGAGCTGAATGGTGTTACGGTACTATAATCAAGGTATACGTTTCTTGTGGGATGTTGCCAAAAAACATTACATGGAGGATTTCTCTAACACATGTGTTTAATTTTTTTTTAAATGAAGAGCATTTTTTTCCTCTGTTGTATACGTTGAAAAAGACATAATGAACGAACAGGTTCAAAAAATACATCAAAAAAAAAAAAAAAAACTTAGAGACTCCGACACTCTAAGAACATGTATTAAACATAAACAATGCTTACAAATGACAATCATTTGGGAAACACCAAGGGGATTCCCTTCCGTGTTGATGCATTACTGAGCAGACCTTACTCCATGACGCCTACAAAATTATGAAGAAATCTGCGTATATACATGTTGTATTTTCATAAAACTTATATTGATCTACCACGATAAATGATGACAATTTCAGAATTGGCAATTTTAAAGGTAATTACTAACTTTTTCGGAGCCACATGGGCTCTTTCACGCGCTCGTGGTAGTCCCACAGGTTGTATTTCTCGACATCAACTGGATCCAAAAACGACCACACAATGGATTTACTGCAAGACATTACGCCCATGAGAATTCGATAGCCATGTCGAAGTTCGGGAGACAACTCAAGCTTTTGTGCCTTAGCGGTCGATTGTTTCTCCGGCGGCGCTTTTTGGGAATCCTCGCTTGGTGTCGGAGATACCAGAGAAGTTACTGCGCCAACTCTTGAAGTTGGATTCGCCGGTTCAGAACACATTTCGTCCATCTCGTGATGTTCAAATGTAAGCAACGTTTCTTCAGGAATCTCCATATCCCTACTATAACTGGAACTTGAACAACCCCAGATCGCCTCTGGGTGATGACGGCCCACTTCGCACGTTTGTAAACACAACTTTCCCAGGGAATCTCCCTGTAACGAGCGCTCAAGTGAGGGGAACTTGAACCAACTTGTAGAAACAGTCAGGACAATGAAAATTCCTCGAAATTGTAAAAAATATTTTGCCTAACCGGTATGACTTGAGAAATTAAATAAAAATCACCCATTGATAATATCTACGGCAATAGTCCAGGCATTTCGGTCAAAAATCGTCCACGGCCTCACTACTTTGGGTTAAATTTCGACAAAATCAACAAAATTCCCGTTTTGCGAGGAAATCACCTTCAAGGCCTATTTACATAAAATAAAAGATATTCATCCGCAAGTCAACAGTGCTTTCAATGTGAAAATAATTTTCTCTTTTACACTTCAGTATTTATATTTTAGAATTGTTCCAAATTATCTGCAAATATTGATTTTAGGAAAATATACTATATGTCATTATATCGCGTTTGATATATTTCACAAATAGTCCCTCGCGTATTAGAATATGCTAATATTGAGTAGTGCGGTCTGATGAGGTCACGTTGTCGGCTATCAAAAATTATAACTGTTTTTCGAAGTCATATAGTTTTTCTAGCTTGTAAACATGCATAAAGTGTTTCTTATTGTTCTATAATTCTTATCTAAAATCACAGACATTTCCCTCTATGAAATATATAACGCAGTAAATCGCCAGCATTTAATGACGTTTCACCACCTCCACAACCTAAATGGTATGCCCTAAAACAGCGCCAACTCGCGACTAAATGTGCAGGTCACCTTAGGAGGTCACCTTGACAATACGGATTAGCTGTTTAGTGACCGAACTTTACATAGTATTCGGCTGTCAGAAAACATGCTTAATTGGGAGGAAGTTAATGATTGTTTCCATTCACTTGCTACAGAAGGCCGAGGTGAGTGTAAATGTTTCATTCCTTGGAAACCTAATGAAATGAGTCACGTGGAATGAGTGTCTCCTGTGATTGTCCCTCTGAAGATAGAGGGGTTGTTACAATTATTTGATAATATTATTATTATAAGCCAACTCCTATTTTTTTTTAGAAAATTGGTCATAAATCGCATGACAATGTTCATTGGTTTATTATGTACAATCATGGAGCTATTGTCCTATGGCACTATGAAATATCATTTTTGTGTTTGTTTACATTGACGTACAAGTATTTTGAGAACTATCAGTATTATTGGAACAATTACATATAACATTAGCCTGGTGACCCCAAACTTTTTTTTAAACTCAATATCCTTTATATTGCCGAGGAGTACCATTTCTTGCAAAATAATGAAATTATGGGAATTTTCATTTATGAGTAGACTTTTAGCTTAAAGGGCGGTGGTCGTCGCGTCGAGCATGTGCAACATTTGTGTTGATAAACATTGATTTTCCCATAATTCAATGCGCTCTTCTCATGGAATCGCAAGAATGAGTTTTGATCTGGGCGCGAATTGTGAATATTTGTGAAAGCAGCCCAGTCATTGCTGCTTGTCATTTTAAAAACAGGTTCCATGCAATGTATAATACATGTGTAAAATACCTTGTTTACTTGCACAAAATAAGAATGTGTGGTGTTGCTCACTGTTACTCTTATAAAAAAAAAATATTTTCAATACTTACCTAGGTTGTCTAACAAAAGATCAGCGAAATCTTACCAGTGAGGGCAGAATTCAAGTTAAGGATTTTTTGATGTTGGTGACCATGCCCATGACACTTGTGTTCACATAGCAGATTATGGTATCAGCTGGTAAATGTAGAATGTCAAATCTAAATTGACTTGTCAAGAAAAAAACAGGTTATCTCATAGAATGGCAAAGTCAGAATTTTTTTTCTGATTTAAAACATGTATTTTATTTTTTAAGTTTAGCTTTTTAGTGTGACTACACACAAAACAAATTCTTCCAATAGGGCACTATTAAATTCCACAATTACATGCCTTTTTTCAATTATAAATTGAAATACATTTAATTTTTTTATTAATCTGTTTTATTTTAGAACTTTATTTGCATAATGATGTACCAGTGCTTACAGTACCACCATCACCCTTAACATTTTACAGGGAATGGGTGTGCCCTAATCGTCCTGTTATTATCAATAATGCAATAAATGAATGGCCAGCACTGCATAAATGGAAAGATTTAGACTATCTGAGGTGAGAATACAGACCGAGGCAGTAACAAGTTATAGTGAAATTTCCTCGACCTTGCGGTTGGTAGAGCTCCGCTGTAATTGACAAGTGCGAAAATGCGCAAAAAAAAAAAAAAATGCACTAAAAATAAACACTTGCATATAGTGCCATGAAAATAATGAAAGCATTTTGAGCGATTAGACTAGATTGAAATATCAACATGTCTCCACATTCATTACCAAGTTAGATGGTGTCTAACCTAGAAACATGTTATGAATATTGAAATGTACTGTAGAATACTTTATTTTTGCTAGGAATTTATTTTCGCTGAAAGGATGATTCCGTGAAAATAAAATACAGTGAATATACTTTTTGTCCTATACTTCACATTAAACCCATCAAAAATCAGTGAAAATGAATTCCGAAACGCCCAAAAAGCCTTTTCAGCGAAAATTAATTCCAGCAAAAATAAAGTATTCCACAGTATTTTAGTGTCTCTGAAAGGATTTTTTTAATGTTCACAAATTATTAATTTATGTTACCCAAGGTGCATTTTCAGCTATTTAATAATATGTAGTTCCCTCTGGGAAGCTCTAAAACACAAACCAAATGACTGACACATAGAAACTCAATTTTTCATTGGTGGACTAATGGATAATAAAAATGTGTGTTACTGTCCTTGTTAATGCTACTTGTATGTTTCCAGAATTTTAAAATTTACTATTTCCACTTTTCCCAGAAATAAAATTGGAGATAAGAGTGTAAGTGTGGCAGTGACGCCTAATGGATACGCTGATGCAATATATAAAGGACGCTTTGTGATGCCTGAAGAAAGAAAAATGAAGTTTAACACTTTTCTTGACATTATAGAAAAAAGACTTGAGAGCAATGGTGTATTTTATGTGCAGAAACAAAACTCCAATCTTACAACTGAGTTTCAAGAACTGATTACAGATGTTGATGTTGATATTCCGTGGGCTTCGGAGGCATTGGGCAAAAAACCAGATGCAGTGAACTTCTGGATTGGGGCAGAAAAAGCAGTGACTTCAAGTAAGTGACTTCAAGCTCTGGCAATGGCAAAAAAATTATTTTTGAGTGTTGATGATTGTAAAGACTCTGACAAGTATTAAATAGTTATTTCCAATATTGACAAGCTTACAATGATAATATGAGGCTATTTCATAGTGATAAATATGATGCACATGTGAATTATGGTGGTGAAAAAAAAGGGGAGTATTTAGTCATGATTGTACAAGCCCAGCTTTGTGAAAGCAAAATATCATGAAATCAGATAATCCACACACCACAAATCTTCTAGTGCTGCTAAAAGTCTAATATCAGTCACATTCACAGTCTTTGACATAGCTGTGCAGATTTCAGTTTGGTATGTAGGTTGGTGGGTTACAATATATTGCATGTCATTTTCTGTTGTGCTTAATTTTCAACGCCATGAACACTAATTGCATGATTTTCTACAAGTTGCATTTCATTCTTACCTACAGTGCATAAAGATCACTACGAGAATCTATATTGTGTCATCAGAGGGGAGAAACATTTTATATTATTACCGCCAACAGATATGTTATATGTACCTTACGGTGAGTATAAGGTTGCCGATGAGTGAGGAATGTTGTCTGGAAAGTTTGTGATTATGTTGACGAGCCCAGTTGATGAGTAAGCTGTCTATTGCCCACAGAGAAAACATTATTTTGAATAATTTGTTCATGCTGAACACATTACAGGTTTATATCAAGCAGCTGTCTTTAAAGAGGACCCAACGACTCGTACATTCGACATTATTGAGGATCACCAGACTGGAAAAGTACCATGGATTTCAATAGATCCACTGAACCCAGATCTGGATGCATATCCAGATTTTAGTAAAGCACAGCCTATCCAATGTACTGCGAAAGCTGGAGAGACTTTGTATTTACCATCGTTGTGGTTTCACCACGTTAGGCAATCACAAGGCTGCATAGCAGGTACGTTTCACAATGGGATTGATATGGCCGACTGAAAGCCATTGCTCTTTATCTTTATGGGGGGTTCTTGAAATGATATCCTTGTAGTGCCAGATAAACATTCTGGTATTACTGTATGCATACCTACAGTAAAATCTCAATTAGAAGCCACCCATTCATCATTTCTCACATGTTTAGATGCTCTAATAGAAGCTGCATTCCCTATGTTGCAATATACTGTAAAACATGTCTTTTTCGCAAATTTAGCGAGAGAATTGATTCGCTAATTCAAGATGTCGCTAATGACTTTATTATCAATTCAAAATGACCACCAAAGAAATCAACAATGATAAGAAAGATTCGCTAAATCAACATTTCGCTATTACGTCATTTTACCACAATTCGCTAAAATTGCATGACGCCTTTTCAACATGTTTTACAGTAGCTACTAATACAGATTCTACAGTGCCATGCCTGCTTAAAATCATCCATAGAATATCCAAAGAAAAAGTGTCCCTGGTAACAGTGAGCCAAATAGATCAATGAATAGATTTGGTACCCATCCTTTTAAGGGACATTTGTCTTTAATACTAAATTTGAACAAAGCATGACAATCGGAAATTTTGAATCCTCATACAAAATGATCATGGTGCATCACAAAATTTGAAATTGTCCAAAAAACTGAATTTAGGAGCAAATAGGTACCAATAGTTAAACAAATTATTGTCAATGTTTTAGGGAAAATTTAGACTATAAATTAGGTGTTGTATCATGTTCAATGATTGTAAATAACTTTTTTACTTGTGACAGGCATTTTTATATATTGATTTGCTCAGACATAGAGTGGCTGATTTTATCAATACATTTGACAAGTCATGGCAGTCTAACCATTTTATTACAGAGTTTTCAATCCAAACAGTTATTTGTTTTTGACTCCCATGTGCGAAGCACAAAATGGGAGTCTTTGCAGTTAGTGTGTCTGTATGTGTGTATGTGTGTATGTGTGTGTGTATGTGTGTATGTGTGTCCGACTGTTCCACTGCTATCTCAAGAACCATACATCGGTTTTTGATGAAACTTGGTGCATAGATGCTCTGGGCCAATGCGCAGATTTGATTAGGTTTTGGTAAAAATCCATGCTCGTTAATTACCTAATTTGCATGATAATTAGCTAATTTTTAGCTGTTCTATGACTGTTCCACTGATATCTAAAGAACCACTCATTGGATTTTGATGAAACTTGGTACATAGATGCTCTGAACATATGCGCAGATTTGATTAATTTTTGGTAAAAATCCGTGCATATTAATTACCTAATTTGCATGATAATTAGCTATTTTTTAGTGGTTCCATGACTGTTCCACTGATATCTAAACAACCACTCATTGGATTTTGATGAAACTTGGTACATAGATGCTCTGAACTCATGCTAGGTTTTGATTAGTTTTTGGTAATAATCCGTGGATACTAATTACCTAATTTGCATAATGATTAGTCAATTTTCGGTTTTTCCACTGATATCTCAAGTACTAA